AATTTAATGATTTGCACATAATTGTGGTTTTCATTTCATATTTGTGACGAAGGAAATGGTAAATACTTTATACTATTAAGAGCTAATATAAACGCAGTGGCATGGATTCTGATTAAAGATGCGATAGGGGCATTCACGAATAACAGCGTGCTTAGTTTGTAATTGCATGTGTAAATACAATAAAATGAGTTTGGGAGTTCATATAAAAGAGATTGCAGAGTGGTGTTACCCAGAGCTAGCCTTCATCTTGTTTTTCTATATAAAACGCTTGGAAAGCTTTTAAAATGTTTTTATAATGCCATATTCACACTATATTACGAATGTAGTTAGTTGTAGACAAAATGTATTTAACAAAGTGTGATTTCATTTGACATTGCTCTCAGAAGAACCATCCTATAAAGTCAAACTGAATAAAAAAAAAAATTGTATGAATTTTGAATCGTTTGTTTATATTTTTTGACATACTAGTACCTTAAAAGAGAGCCGCAGTGAGTTGTCAATCACACCTTCTTTAATACACCTTGATTGCAAGTAAACTTATGTGGGAAAAAGCAATGCAAAATGTGGCACAATAAATTTGATTTTTTATTTAATATAAAAAAAAGAACAGAAAAGAAAAAAAATCAGTTTGTATTTAAATTGTTAGTGAAACCGGTGGTTATCATTTTTTTGTTGATTTAAGTAGGCACTTAATGCCGGATTTTATATAGGAAGGCAAAAATATTAATTTAAAACATGCGAAATGAAAACGAACTTTGTCATTACAAATTTTGTCATTTAACGCTCAGTGGAAATCCGTTATAAGAAATATTTTTATTTCTTTAATATTAAATTAACCTACAGTTTTACAACTCCTTTAAATGGCAGGGGTTTTTGCTTCTTGAGAAGCTTTTTCTTAACACCTGGAGGATTATCATTGNAAAAAGCAATGCAAAATGTGGCACAATAAATCTGATTTTTTATTTATTATAAAAGAAAGAACAGAAAAGAAAAAAAATCATTTTGTATTTAAATTGTTAGTGAAACCGGTGGTTATCACTTTTTTGTTGATTTAAGTAGGCACTTAATGTCGGATTTTATATAGGAAGGCAAAAATATTAATTTAAAACATGCGAAATGAAAAAGAACTTTGTCATTACAAATTTTGTCATTTAACGCTCAGTGGAAATCCGTTATAAGAAATATTTTTATTTCTTTAATATTAAATTAACCAACAGTTTTACAACTCCTTTAAATGGCAGGAGTTTTTGCTTCTTGAGAAGCTTTTTCTTAACACCTGGAGGATTATCATTGACCGCCGAGCGGCGAACGCAACACGCGTAAGTCTTTGATATCCAAAGAAAACTCGGGAGCAGTCGAATATTGCACAACAAAGCGGTTGGCACAGTGCAATTCAAACAGAGCATTGGCGCACGAGTTTAGCTACGAAGAATAATAGATCTGTATTCCCAGGACCAAATAGTAGGATGCAGGGTAGTGCAGGCTGATCTGGTGGTGATATGTACGTGCGGATTTGTCAGCAGGGGCAACCAACAGATGCAGCCCTACCTCCTCTCTTATGTGGATTGGTAGTAAGCGAACTGCTCGGAGGCATCGAGGAGGAAGAGGGCTGCAAAACCATTGCAAGTGATAAATTTCCACAAATACTGTGAAGAAGGTAAAATTAAGAAGCATAAAAAAGTGTGCCTGGTAAAACGGTTGAAGAGTAAACCCAAGTAAAAAGGAAACTGTGGTGGTTAGGTCAGGCAGCTTTAAAGCACTAAACTCTGTCACAGGTAATTCGGAAACGATAATAAACGTCAGAAGGCACAGCAGTTTACTTTTCACCTGGTATGGTTTCCGGGACATGGGGGCATAACTTATGCTGAGCAAAGAAGATGTTTTCCTGGCCAGGGGTGTGCTGACAGGTTATAGCCACTTACTCTGCCAATACCTTGGAGGAGACCGAAGTTTATGAGTGCTGGGATCTTTGAGGACGCCGATTGCTCAAATTTTCCAATTACACATGAACGTTTACATAGGAAGGAGCAGGTGTATATAAAGATCTAGATTTCATCGAGTGTTTTTTCTTTGATTTGTAATGTGCATCTTAATATTGCCAGAGAGATTTTTCATGGCGGAAAATAGCAGAGATCCACTATTCTGATATACTTTTTCGAGGGATTTCGGTGCGCTGAATTTGAATCCGGGGTTTGGTTCTGTATCCACCGACTGTACATAATGTAAACAAAGAAGCCTGAAATTACACTTCCAAATAGGCCCAACGCAAAAATCAGATACGGATATATAACTGCTTGTGGTTCATACAAATGTAACTTAATACAATGCAAATTAATACAAAAACAAATAAAGCAGTAGTTTTCCAACTAGAGAATATAATCATGAATACTACAAATTGATTTATGCAAAAAAAAACTACCTAAATTTTTAGTTGTGAAGAGGGTGTGCGATATGTACAAAAAATATATCAGAATAAATGAAAGAAAGCATTTTAAGAGAAAAGGTTATATTTTCAAATATCATATCGAGTGCAAAATAAAATTTTTTCGTAACTAAATTTTACGACGAATATAGCGAAAAACGGAATTTATTGCATGGTTGGTTTTGAATATTTCGAAAACCTTAGATGATGGAGCAACTCTAATGCCGGATTCAAATTCAGCGCAACAAAAACCTTTAGAAAGTATAATCTGCTTTCAGGCGCTGAAAAATTTTGTAATGAAATTTTGTTCACTAATCGGATGGCTGAAGTTGACTGATTTTTCAAATTTTTTCAATAAATAACATTAAACTAAAATTGTTGAATATAATTAAACTAGATCTTTAAAAATTCAAAGAAAAAATTAAACACAAAAAATGTGTAATAAAATGAAATTAAAAAATTATAAAAAAAAATTTAAATTTAAAAAAAATTAAAAATTAATTCTTAAAAAGCTTTAAAATTATCAATACAAAGCAAAACTTAAAATAACTTATTTCAACAAAATATTATTGGCTTTAAAAAACTTAATTGATTTAATATATTTAAAAAATTTAAGTACAAACGGAGGCTTAAAAAATAAGCAAACTTAAAAAATACAAGAAATAAAAAGCAACTAAAAAAAATTTAAAACCAAAAAATACTAAAAGAAATGCATTTTTTTATTTAAACTTAAACAAATAAAAGGAAACAACTACTTTTAATTTTCGAAATTTAAATTGTTGCCTTTTTTAGAAGCAAAAATGTAGTTGTTACCAAGACGTTTTCATATAAGATGGTGTTACTCAAGGCGAATTTATACAAGGTGGTGTTACTGGCGAATTTAGATTACAACAACGACTACCATATTGTATTTTGTATGGAGGGTGTTATGTCAAATCTCAATTCGCTCCAAAGTTTACATGTATTTTGTTTTTGCTTTTGATGGGTGTGCTGTCAAATCAGTAAAAGCAAAACAAAATACATGTAAGACGAAAAAATCAGCTGATTTTACAACATCACCTTGTATAAATTCGCCTTGGTGTTGCTGGAACAGCTGATTTGATTCCCTCGGTACACATGTGTCAAAATTTCTTATGAGTGAGTGAGAAAGTGATGGTTTTGGAATTCTTCTTTATCTCTTCTTTCCTTTAGCTAAAATTTGACATTTGTCATGAAAAGTAAAAACAAAATACATTCAAGTGTTTGGTTTATTTACTACCACCTTATATGAATTCGCCTTGATTGTCACTGAAATTTTTTTAAATTATTACCACGCAACATAAGAAGTGTTTTTATTTTAAATCCTTTGTACTATTTGAAAATCATTCACTATCAGGCTTTAAGTTGAATTAGAAAAAAACCTCTTTTATTTTAATCAAATATATTTTTTTTTAGTATAGTAAGACACAAAAAATGTACACTACTTATGATATGTATTCTTCAAACCAGCAGGCGTTGTTGCGCGTGAATACCCCATTTGCAAGTTGAAAATTTAACTTAATAACTCGCCTAAAAATATGCAATAATATATGTATGTATGTATATCAGCTAGGTTTCATTTTTCTTTACGTCCGGTTTTTTGGTTCAATTTTGATTTTTGATTTTTTTTTTTAACTTTACTTGTAAAAGCATTTCGTGCATACTTTTTGCCTATGATTTTACATAATATAATACATTCCTTCTTCGTATTAAGTTTAGATAAATAACTAATAACTCTCAGCTAGTTGTATATAAACCTACAATAATATGTATGAAGACCTTGAAGAAGAGGCACAATGGATAAATGAAAAGAGAACTAGACATGTGAAGAACAGGATTTCAGCAAGTGTGTACTTTCTTTGAACTGACAAATTTTGTATACAGTTAATTTTAGATGAATTTTAATGTTGAAGGATCTCAATTTCGACCATCTTTTTATATAGATTTAGGCAAACGTTTAACATTTTGTGTTTCGAATAGTATACTTTTTTTTTAAACATAAACGGTTACACGTGCTGTAATAGAGACCAATAGGTGGTGGATATGTTTTAATGACACTCGTTAACCATATTCCATATTATATTTTGAAGTCGTGAACCAACTATTGGAACAAAATAAAAAGCTGTATTTAATATTTTATCTCAGTTCAAATGTAACACACGCTTATCGAAAGCCGTAAGATATACTTTATGAAAAACGACGAAAACTTCGAAGGAATTGTACGAGCGCCTTTCTTAATTTATTTTTGCATTACGTTGCCAATGTGATAGTTGAGCAGAGTATGTCGAAATTTAATTTCTTTGGAATTTTAATATTAATATCTAAATTGTTGTAGACATCAGACACCGCTTATTATTTTCGTTTAATTTTTTAGTTCTATATTTTTGGTTGCTGCATTTTTTACATCGACGTAAATATATTTATGTAAGCTTTTTCGTGTCGCTTTTAATGTAAATATTATTTAAAATTTTAATACATATTTTTTCTCATTAGTCGTTTAAAGTATGTGTATGTATGTGTGGTAGTAGAAAAACGTTTTGCTTGCAACAAAATGTGTTGGTTATTTTTTCGATACTGGAAGATAGAGAAATAAATAAAAATATAGTACAATAATATTTTGTAATGAAATTAAAATACCTTTAAAGTGCACAAAGGAAAATTTACAAAGCCACAGGAAATACGTATGTATAAATGTTAAGAGTGCACAGATGTGTGAATGACATATGTAAATGTTAGGTAAATGGAAATGCAAAAAGAAAATAAAGGTCAAATAAAATGCTAATGCCAAGCCAAAGAGGGAAAATCAGTTTAAGCGTGAGCATAAAAATTTAACTTTTTAAGTTAATTTTGCATTTTTAAAACGTATTAAAACTTAAGAACTCAATAGATATTTGTTTTAAATTGTAAGAGTTAAGCCTTTATTTTGTATGAATAAAAAATGAAATATTTAAGAACCGTAAATATAAATTTAAGCGCGATAACATAATTTCCCGGTATTTATATTCATTGGATTGCCTTTTTTTATCAATTTTTGAAGGAAACTAAGAAAAATTCAATTACGAGACGCTTAGGAAATAACTAAGAACTTAGCACAGCCAAATACCCCAACTGATCTTCAGGCAAGGTACTCTCATAAAATCTTTTTTAAACCTTGTGTGCTTTTATAACCTCTATTCAAACATGTTGAATTAATAGTCCTTTCACAGAAATAAACCAGGGGCGTAGAATGGACCCGACAGAGACACAACGGATGTATTATTAAAATGACTATCTTTAGTTTCCTCTTTGGGGAGATTAACTAGGATCCTTTATCTCTTCAGTTTGTTAAGCTTTTGACTTGGCGAAGTCATGTGTTGCTTGCCAGTGTTGTTCTCTCATTCCTATTATCTCTCTTTTCTCTTCGCTGATTGTGTTTGAACCTACTGCAAGTAATAGCTTAGACACTGTGGGAGCTGAAGCCGCTGCCTTATATTCTAAGCCGCCCGCTATCTCGTTCTCTTCTACTCCCTTATTACTTTGTGCTCATAGCAGCTGAAAACCATATAATTATGTTCAGCAAGGGCGGTAAGCTTATCAATGCACTCAGGCACACTATAGAGTGGTTGCCAAGCTAATTTCCTGTGGAGCTCTATTTTAAATTTCTTCTAGAAGCTTGGATACTAGCATTTCCGTGATCGTAGCTGATAAGAACTTGCTTGGCTGCAGGCTGATGGCTCGAGCCCGATAATCACCTCCAGTGATGTCGTCGGGTGTGCGCATTGCGTTGAAGTTTTGTGTGAGACATAACTCTCTCGGTGGCTAAGGTAGCCCCAGGAAATGTACTGTTTTGATGAGGTTGGACCAAAGAGAAAGGGGCGTTAGTTGAATAGTTTTAAAGTGGCATGTGAAGACGTAGTTATTGTCATGAATGCAATCTTCACATGCAGGACAAAACTTTAGTCGAGTCTGGATAGGTAAAATTTGAACATGCTACAGTACCCAGACGTAACTGTAGCAGAGTAACGTGGATCTCTCGGAGAAGCGGTTGTTGTTGAAGCGGCTACTAAACCACGCGCGGGTTGGCTCATTCATCGAAGTTGTCACCAGGCAGCTAAAACTTGGTGGTGATTGTACTCCTTGACGACATTCAAGAAGCGAGAGCTGATAAAGGTGGTAATTGTATCTCTGTGAAGGTCGTTAATTGCCTGTTTGTACAGCGTTTGATCGAGTGGTTGTCGTATGCAGTTCTGGATATCGCCCTTCAGTTCACAGAGTTGTCTTCTGGCGTGACAAATAATATGAGTAATAGTCACCTTTTCGCCTTTCGCAATTGTCGTTAAAACAAACTACCGCTAAATCGATACCATAACAGAAACTTGTTTATAGTGTTGATATTAAAAAGCTATTTCTATTTCTATAGAGCTCAATGTCTAAGCAAATAGTAAAAAAAAAATCATTGTACAAGGGTTTGAAAAGTAATCCACGTGAACTAGGAGGAACAAGCTATTTAAAAATTGCGAGCATTATAATATTTAAAGAATTTAGGGGTAATGAGCTAAGTAAAGCCAACTGTAAAACACATTCCAAACCAAATGAAACGAGAAAGCTGGAGCAACTTTCAGGCTTCAACTCAAACTAAGCGCGCGCATAATGAAAATATAAGTACAGCAACAGCAATTCAGTGCTTACCTTCTTCATCCGCATTGAGCAAAGGATCGAATGCCTCCAACACACTAACGCGCGAGCTGTAAATAAAAGCATTGATTAGAAAAACAGTAAAAACCTGTTGAAAGAACTCATTGCATGCAACATACTCATCCTCCTGATTAAGATCAATCAAATCATTTCCGGTGCGTTGTGGCTTGCGCGCAGGCGGTGTTTGACGACGCATGCCAGCAGTGGTAACCGTACTACCACCACCACTATTACTGCCATTCGGTACAATCGCTGCCGCTGCAGACTGTGACTTGGTGAGCGGCATAGGCACCGCCGCTGCGGAAACGCTGCTTGCTACCGATGGCGCTGCCGCGGTGCCATAATATGAAGCAGCTGCGGGCGGCATGCCGCCATATTGAAACCCATAGTGTGAAGGCGTTGGTGGAAATTGTGGAGGTGTAAAAGCGCTGCCTGCAGCAGCTGTAGGTGGCGCGCTCTGCGTGTAGCCTGCAGCATGTGTTGGTGCAACATAACCACCCACTGAGGGTACGAAGCCCATGCGTGTTGAAGGATAAACGAAGCCCGCTGGCATTATGGCCGCCATTTGCTGATGCTGCTGTTGTTGATAATACTGCTGTTGTTGCTGTTGCTGCTGGAGAGGCATGTTATAGAGTTTCTGCAGCTCCTCACTTGTGAGCGGTACTTTCTGTTGCTGTGCTGATGATGGTGCCGGCGTAAAGGGCACCAATTGCATACAATTGCCAGCGGTGCCACCAACTACACCCGCACCCCCACCCGATGCTGCCGGCGCTGCCGCATACATGGCAGTGGTGTGTGTGGGCGTGACCAGTGAAGGCGGTGTGCCACGATAGCCGGCGGCAGCAGCATGCATTGATGTTATGGGCGCCGCAGCTACAGGACCGAACGGCACTAATGCCGTTTGTTGACTCGAGGTCTGCAGCTTCTGCAAATCTTCGATTAGCTTTTCGAAAGTATTGGGCTGCGCTTCTTTCGCCGTAGGGCTGGAGAAAGAGATAAGATCGCTTTCAGGCAGCGCGGCAGGTGGCGTTTTGGAGCGCTCGCGTGATGCTGCCGTTACTGCGGCTACATTCAGCGACACATTGTTGTTGGCCTCAGAGTGGCGACGATGTGGTGGCATTGGCGCTGCTGCAGACGTTTCGTTTGAGTTGTCACGCGACTGCTGGTAACGTGTACGCAGTTGCGCGTAAAAGGCAACTGCGGATTCAGTCGATTGCTGGCGCTGATGCACGGAATGTGAATGTTGCAGTGAAGGCGACTGCGATTGGGAGCGTTCATTGTAGTAGTGGGCGGCGGTGCCATACTTTTTGGCGCGACGATAATCATCGAGTGCTTGTTGCTCCAAACTCAATGCGGTCGCCTTGGCCAAATCATCTTGGAATTGTTTATCATAATCGATGTCTGATTGATTGGACATTTTAAAGCTCTGAACGCTAACGGGCACGCAATAAACTAGGAGAAAGAAAAAGGGAGAAAATACTATTAAAATCATGCGCACATGAAATATTAATGATAAAGTATTTAGTGATTTAACTATTTTATTGCAGGAGTGTTTTTTTTTACTTAAAGTTGTAGGTATTTATTTTTTGATTGCAAATTAAAGTATAATTTAATTCTTTTTAACAACACTTTTGGCGAGTCTAAATATTGTTGTTTGTACACTGGAGTTGTGTGCTCGCGTAGCTATTGCATACTTTTGCGAAAGTCCAAACGCGACCTTCTCAAAAGCCAACTGTATGAAAAAGCAACAAAGCCGGAGGCTAATCAGCTCGAATCGACCGTTTTTTGATAACATTTTTCATTGCTTTTATCTAATTGAAATACGAATATAAACAAACAAGCATACATGCATGTGATTTCGATGTTAGAATGCGTTGTCTGATAAAGGTAAAGATTAGGAGAAATGTGAATAGTTAAATGATAATGGCGATCGGGAAAAGATACAAGCGTTGTCATTATTGTAACGGCATTACTAATCGCTGCCTAGTACGGCTGGCCCATCAATCATTATCGCCAAGCTCCGCTAACGGCAGGCGCAAGAGATGTGCCGTTACGACAGGGACAGATCTAAAGGATCTGTTAACTGGGCCAGTATTCAACGAGGTAACAAATGAAGACGAAAGCCCTCTCTGCGATGGTAGACCCCCTCTGCGATGGAAGGCCCAGGCGGAGAAGGACTTGACTTCACTTGACACTTCCGATTGGCGTCAGTTGGCACAGAAGAGAAACGACCGGCGCCTTTTGTTTGACTAGGCCAAAGAACAACTGGGTTATAGTTACGCGGGTCTCACGCGGCAGCTGAAGCTCTTTTTCTGCTAAATGGTAGTGATTGGCCTGCTATTACTGCATTCTTGAAGGCGAGAGTCGCTGAAGATGGTGACGAACAGCCGGTTCTACGTACCGGAATGATTCGGGTCTTACCCGACCAACGGCTGTTGTTTCGGCGATCTAACCCTGTTTAGGCGCACTTTTTACCGCACTTCTTGGGCAAGCATTTTTGAATTCACTTCACTTAAGAAGGCCCACCTAAATTATCTTCTGGGTTATTTAACTGTGCTATGTAGTAATCGTAGTACGAGGAAATCACACATCCATTTAACGATAAGCAAAAGTCTGATTGTGAGGGAGGATGTAGAGAGGAAATTATTATTTTATTTTTCGTAAACTAAACTTTTTAAAGCATTTGCATTTTTTTGCAGTTTGTAATAAATATTACCTAATATCCTCTCCGTTTTGTGCGCGATAGCAACTGAGCATTAAGCATTACAATGAATGAAAAAACGTTTTTTATCGCCATAGCACGCTTTTAAATATGTATGCATGTAGTAAAAAAAAACTAAAACCAGCCTAAGCCAAAGAGCTGATAAAAACCGACAATTGATAATTTTTAAAACTAAATGGGTTTTGAGAACTACAACTTACATAAAAGACGGCTACTAATATGATAACAGAAAAATTAGTGGAAGGATACAAAATCAAAAAGACTGCCGGTTGCAAAATAAGATTAGGATATTAGAAAGAAACCTTTCCAACCTTAGGGTGCTTTTTGTCGGCGACTATTTTTTTTTTACTCTCACCTCGAAATTTTGTGGGAAATATCTCAAAACAAGTTCCGTCAAAATTCTATAGCTCAGAGGCATTTAGCGGTATAATCATGGTCAATGATGGTTTTTCTTCAGAACTCAATGCTCTACAAAACTCACGGAACTTGTTTTTAGATATTTTCCACAAAATTTCGACGCGGGGGTTAAAAACAAATATGTTGTCGAAAGAAAGAAAGCACCCTAATATATGTACATATTTTGAAAATCGGTTAAATCCTTTTCAAAATATATGTAAGTTTTTAAATATTTCAAAAACTCCACCTTCAACCCCTCCCCTGTTAATTTTCACCCAAAAAAATTTTTACCAGTTGTATCAGTAAAATTTAACACACAAATTCATAAAAAATAAAGAACACTTTAACTGCTTTATAAATCGAAAACTTGTATGAAAATGTCACTTTATAGAACTCTATAAATCTATTTTATTTTTTATAAATAAGGCCATAAGTCTATAAACTGTGGTAACAGTAATGGTAATGGTTATGGATTTCGTAATGGTAATGGTAATGGTTATGGATTTCGTAATGGTAATGGCAATGGTTGAGGTAGGGACAACATTGCGTATGTAAAAACAGACTTTTACTGGGAGGCTATAAAGGCTTTATTAAAACTAAATAAAATTAAAATTAAATGAATTTAAGAACACACTTGTCTTCTTATATCATTTTCTAAACCATGAATACATTTCCTCCGCTTCGTGAACATTGTGTACCTTTAACTATTCAATTTCAAATTATATCATTTTCCTTACTAATTTGCATACTCTATTGAAATTTAAGTACAAAAAATCGAATCCAATTAATTGTATTGTATCGAAAGAAATTGAATTGAAAGTCTATTTATAGGCCAAACAACGTTGACGATAACCAGGCGAAGAAGACTCAATGAACATCAAACGGCACAGGGAATGGCAAGTTGTACCAAACACACAGCATAATAAAAAATATACAGCACAAAACACTACAGTGCGTTGCATAATTATAAGACTGATTTTTTGTGCAAAAATTATAAAAACTCAGCAAATTTTCACCAAAGCACATGCGCACAAGGGTATTATAATTCTGTTCACATAACGGTTGTTTGTAACAGCCAAAACGAATCGAGATAGATATAGACAAATGTATACATAAATTACCAGAATGAAAAGAGAAGTCGACTAAGTCGTGTCTGTCCGTCCGCCTATCCGTCAGTCCGTCCGTCCGTCTGCGTACCCGATAATTCGAGAAAAAATTGAGATATCTCAACGAAATTTGGCACGTATGTAGGTTGCCCTTTGCCCAAGATATGTTGGTATTGCAAATGAGCGAAATCGGGCTGTAATCACGCCCACTTCTCATACAACGGTATTTTTGAAAAAGGCAAAAACTGATATTTCAGTAAATATTCAATCGAAATTTTTGAAAATTAGTATGTGAACTGGAATTATGGTAAAAAATAATATTATAATGAGATTTTTGGAAAATGGGCGTCGCCCCGCCCACTTATGATGAAATGCTGTATCTCAGTAGCCGCTTCACCAATCCCTACCAAATTCGGTCCGAGCCTTGCTTAGAAATCTGTTGAAAATCTTTTAAATCGGGCAATAACCACGCCCACCTCCCATATAACGGTAATTTACAGAAACACGAAAACTGCTATAGATCAGTAACTATTGAAGCTGATTCACTCAAAATAGACGATTGCAATAATGACCTAGCAGGAAATTTGATTATTGTACATTTTTGGATAATGGGCGTGGCCCCGCCCACTTATGACCACAAGTGTGTATAGCAATATCTATTTATTTTATTGGTTTTCGAAGGAGTAGAGCTGCGAAATAAAACTGTATTTCTTTGAACCGGCATTTAAATTTACACGCTAAATTTTAAGAAAAAAGCTAGTTTTGTATAGAAGTTTTATATGAAATAAAATATTTTAGAACGTTGATTTGGATGTTTTTATT